AGCGGTGCCAGGAGAAACTGACATCGGAGCGGTCTACAAGACGGTGTAGTCCAGGCTGGACGTATAGTGTAGAGCGGGAAGCTTCACAAGAGTGACATCCACGGCGCCAAAGATTCTTCTGACGGGGAGGTCGAAGGCAAGTTCCACTGTTGTATTCCTTCTGTTAAGTGAGATACAATAAAGCGATAACTTTTGCTACAATCCCTTCGAACTCACATGTGTATCTTTGTGGCATCCTGAGTAGACAAAGTACACGAATAGCGTAAGGGTACGACGTAACAATATATTAATAGTAATTATATATACAGTTACGAGCGTCATTCCTCATCGGCCTCTGTCACGGTTTGCTTTTTTTTTTTGGAATGGCGCCCTCCTATTGGTCGGCTACGATCACGCCACCTTTGCCCCCCCCCCCCCCACTCGCATTTTTGTTTTTGTAACTATTGTGTTGGAGCGGGTCGCTCCTTAAATAAATGCATATATTAGTTAATAACTAAATGGAATCCTCTCTTTCTTTTTCCCAGTAAGAGACGCCTACGGAAGCCAACAGTACATAGACAGATAAAGCACATAGGCTATAGTTATTAACTAACATATGCATTTATTTAAGGCGCCAAATTATAATTGTAACAAATAGTATTTGAATAAAAACATTCAATCGGGTAAAACACGGGCGTTGCCCGGGTCATTCGGCTAGTTATAGTAGAAAGAGGAGAGATGAAGATATAGGAATGTATTGTCTCTATGTGTGTGTTGCATATTTGCGGGAACCGATGCTTACAGAAGTCCAAAGCAATTCTTACTAAAGTGAATGTAAAAGTAACCAAACAGGACTAAGAGCTACACATATACACACACACAAAGCTTTATTAAGACCACCGGTCTTATACAGATTCACCACAGGAAGAAATAATAGATAGAGCTCCTATACTCCAGGCAGCACAGAACCCAACAACAGCCTCTAGGTCCGACGTATGTCCAATGGCCACACGTTCCTTTGTGCATACGTCATGGTTAGCGAATCACTAAACAGGCGAATGTGGAATCAGCCGCGTTCTAGTCTTCGCTTTCCTCATCCAAATGGACCACGGCATTCGGCGATTCTATTAATCTTCTCCGAACGGTGAACTAAGAGGTACACATATATAAATGCAAAAATCGAATTGCTTTCTACACATGTATAGACATGTGCTGCACTTACAGTAAAATCAAGTCTCTAACTTCTATCATGATTATCATGGCCAGTACCACATTTACTAGGTATATAATAATAATTACTATTGTAGAACGACATTTGAAAATTATCCAGCATGTGTTTCTTTTGAACGAAAAATCGAAATTTATTTTAAGGAGAAATAAAGATTATTTCTATCCTTAGGAGTGAAGTATGAAAGGATGAATTGTGTGAAGAGTAATTATAAACGGGTTAGAAATAATCGTTATTTCTCCTTAAAATAAATTTCGATTTTTCGTTCAAAAGAAACACATGCGGAATAATTTTCAAATGTCGTTCTACAATCATAAGCGGTATTATATTGTATTATAATAATTACTATTATTATATATATATATCTCTAATTAACGCGTGTGGTATAGGTCATGATATGTGGTGGTTATAATAATATATAACACTAGCGGACGTACCCGGCTTCGCCCTGGTTTTACCAGAGTAAAGGTTTGTCTAACGAATCTCTCGATAAAGTGAACATTTTTCTCGGTCCCTTGAAAAATACTCGATAAGTTGAATAAAATCAATATTAATTGGTTCCCTCGGTAATTTGAAGTTAAAGGAATAGTATCTTGCCTTGGAATTGTATCATTATTCTTGTCTCAAATAAATTGCCGTGTCATCCTGAATTTTGTCTTTCCTAATTTTCTACATTACAAAATCATCGTATCATCATGATAATATTTAGAGCAGATTGTTGAATTATAACAGATAAATTAGAATATTTATCTTGATTATTTTTAGGTGAAAAGTTATTTAAAAAATTTTATTTGCTAGAAACCTTCCCAGTACTATACTAAATAACTTCCCAAAGTTTCATGGCGTTCCAATGAGTGGTTTGGTCAGGCATAAAGGATAGACAGACACACATACATTCATTTATATATATACTAGACGAAAGGCCCGGGCAACGCCCGGGGTTTACCCGAGTGCGAATATATTTTAAAAACGTTGTCTTGGGTGGTCGCTATTGACAGGGTGGTCTGTATAGACAGGTGGATGTATCACACAGCTGATAACAGGGTTGTCTAGAGTGGTCGCTATAGACAGGGTGGTCTGTATAGACAGGTGAATGTAACACACTGATGATAACAGGGTTGCCTAAGGTGACCGCTATAGACAGGGTGGTCTGTATAGACAGGCAGCTGATAACAGGGTTGTCTAGAGTGGTCGCTATAGTCAGGGTGGTCTGTATAGACAGGTGTATGTATCACACAGCCGATAACAGGGTTGTCTAGAGTGGCCGCTATAGACAGGGTGGTCTGTATAGACAGGTGTATGTATCACACAGCCGATAACAGGGTTGTCTAGAGTGGCCGCTATAGACAGGGTGGTCTGTATAGACAGGTGAATGTAACACACTGATGATAACAGGGTTGCCTAAGGTGACCGCTATAGACAGGGTGGGCTGTATAGACAGGCAGCTGATAACAAGGTTGTCTAGAGTGGTCGCTATAGACAGGGTGGTCTGTATAGACAGGTGGATGTATCACACAGCTGATAACAGGGTTGTCTAGAGTGGTCGCTATAGACAGGGTGGTCTGTATAGACAGGTGTATGTATCACACTGCTGATAACAGGGTTGCCTAAAGTGACCGCTATAGGCAGGGTGGTCTGTATAGACAGATGGATGTAACATAGACAGGTGTATGTATCACACAGCCGATAACAGGGTTGTCTAGAGTGGCCGCTATAGACAGGGTGGTCTGTATAGACAGGTGAATGTAACACACTGATGATAACAGGGTTGCCTAAGGTGACCGCTATAGACAGGGTGGTCTGTATAGACAGGCAGCTGATAACAGGGTTGTCTAGAGTGGTCGCTATAGACAGGGTGGTCTGTATAGACAGGCAGCTGATAACAGGGTTGTCTAGAGTGGTCGCTATAGACAGGGTGGTCTGTATAGACAGGTGGATGTATCACACAGCTGATAACAGGCTTGTCTAGAGTGACCGCTATAGACAGGGTGGTCTGTATAGACAGGTGGATGTAGCACACTGCTGATAACAGGGTTGTCTAGAGGGGGGCGGGCAGGGAGGTCACGTGTTTGCTGGCAGTCAATGGGCGCGCATTCTATCCGTGAGCTTCAGACAAACAGAATAAGGCAAATATATAAGTAGATAGATAGATTCAAAACTATTTTAAACGCGTAAGATTTTTTTGAAATTAAACAATTTCTACTGCCCTTACTGCAATGGAAGAATTAATGGGAGGGCCTGGCTCATCAGTGGTGAACCCTCCCAGCGGTTTCGCCAGTTTAATCCACCATACCGCTGTTATATTGCATTTTTGGAACTTCCTTCTATAGTGATACTGTTGCTAGGACTCTTGGAATGGGTATTTTAGAAGAACTATAACAATATAACAGCGGTATGGTAGATTAAACTGGCGAAACCGCTGGGAGGGTTCACCACTGATGAGCCAGGCCCTCCCATAAATTTTTCCATTGCAGTAAGGGCAGTAGAAATTATTTAATTTCAAAAAGAATCTTACACGTTTAAAATAGTTTCTAATATTGATAACAGATGGCGCGCTAGTGCATCATAATAATAATATATAGTTAGTAGTATAATATGATAGTAATAATAATATAATAGTAGTAGTTGTGTGTAGTAATAATATATAGTTAGTATAGTTATAATAATAATAATTTTGTGAAATAATGAGAATTTAAAAGAAAAATATGTGAAGAGTTATTCCATACCATAGTTGCATAATGGCCAGGTAGCGTTAGTATTCCAGCGGCGGCTCCACGTGGGTCAGTGGGAGCCTCAGGGGAAAGAAGGTCAGAAGGATCTACAACTCCAGGAGTCACGTCACTCTGCCGTCACTTAACCCGGAGGTAGATACCTCAGTGAAATGGCGATGTTGTCGCATCCAGAACCTGTCACACAGCTAGAAATCCTTCTCTTTTTTTTTTTTCGAGAAAACCATAAAAATATATCGAAGTCTTCAGTAGTAAATATCCACTCATGGACAAAAATTAAGGAAGTTGTATCTCTTAACATGTATATCGGGATACAGACAATAACTCTGAAAGTAAGATATTACAGTTAGCTTTATTGAAGACACACGAGATAACCAAATGTGAGCAAAATTGCCTCTGTCTTCTTTAAAAAAAAAAAAAAAAAACAGACGACCGGCAACATCAAAGACTTTCCACTTCCTTAATTTTTGTCCCATGAGTGTAGATTACGGGAGGATGTTATTTATCTACCAAAAAAAGGAACCTCTCCCTTTTTTAAATACATTAGAACAATGCATTTTTAAACAGGAGAGGTGCCCTTTTTTTTTTTTTTGCTCCGTGAATATCATTCTCCCACTAATGCAAATTTATGTTGTACAAGTATTCTGGCCTGAAAATAAGCCTTGCCACTTTACAGCAGCTTAAAACAAATTTATAGCAAATTCGATTGATTTTTATAACTCCACTCGTAGTATGTTATGAGATTGAAGCCATTCTTTTACTGATGAAGCCAATAGCTTGAAACCATGCTATACAGGTTTTTGTTTGTTGTCTGAGTTTTCCAAAACTGGTGTTTTAGCATATTCTCTCCATCACCACTTTAACACACAAAGCCTTTATTTAAGACACCGATCTTATAATACAATATAATGCAGCTTGTGATTGTAAAACGACATTTGAAAATTATCCCGCATGTGCTTCTTTTAAAGAAAAATCAAAATTTATTTCAATGAGAAATAACGACCATTTCTAACCTTAGGTATGAAGTATGAAAGGATGAATTGTGAAGAGTAATGATAAACGGAAAAATAAAAGTGTCCAGGGTTGGGTATCGAACCCACAATGTTCCGCTTACCGGGCAGATGCCATGTCCACTAGGCTTTTATTTTCCCGTTTACCATTACTCTTCACAATTCATCCTTTCATACTTCATCCCTAAGGTTAGAAATGGTCGTTATTTCTCCTTGAAATAAATTTTGATTTTTCGTTCAAAAGAAACACAATGGCGGATAATTTTCAAATGTGGTTTTACACCAGTATTATACAATATATCTCATTGCCGGTTTACAACGATATCCCCACAATGATCAATCACCATCATGTAGTGGAGGAGTTCCTACTTACTGTAAAAGTTATATAGGGACAGATATGGTACTTTGTACTGAGGTAACTGTCGTTTACTTTTGTCGTCTCTCTTTCTTCTCTGATACTAGCCAAATGACCCAGGCAACGCCCGGGGTTTACCCGATTAAATGATTTTATTAAAATCCTTTTCGTTACAATTATATATTGGCGCCGTGGATGTCATTCTTGTATAATATATAAATGAGTTTTAAGAATTGTAATAAAAATTGCATCGGCCGGGAATCGAACCCGGGGCGCCCGCCACTATAATATATAAATGAGTTTTAAAAATTGTAAAAAAAAAAAATGCATCGGCCGGGAATCGAACCCGGGGCGCCCGCGTGGCAGGCGAGCATTCTACCACTGAACCAAAAGCAAACGGTGACAGAAGTGTCTCGCGCATTGGCGGCACCAAATGATGTGGGGGGGGGGGGGGGGGGGGGGCAAAGGTGGCGTGATCGTAGCCGACCAATAGGAGGGCGCCGGCAAACCGTGACAGAGGCCATGACGCTCGTAACTGTATATAGAATACTGGCACTCAAAAATGTAATGAGATACAGTTAAAACTGTCTACAGCACCCCCTCTAAATAGCGCCTCCCTCTCTATAGCGCCCGATTTTAAATACGAGGTGTGTTCAAAAAGTATCGCGACTTTTGAATTTTCGCGGGTTACGAATATTCGAATTTCGATCTTTTTGTGGCTTTATGTTGGTACTCATGTCTCTCACTTATGCCCACAAGCTCGGCCATTTTGAATGTTCACTTAATTGTTGACAGCTGCTTTGCTTGCAGGTGTTTTGGATCGTCTTCGATTTTTACCTATTAAAAAAAATGTATCAAAGAACCTGCATCAAATTTTGTGTGAAAAACGAAATTAAGTGCGCCGATGCATTCCGAATGTTGACTGCGGCATACGGAGAAGCTACCTTGGACCGAAGCAACGTTTATCGGTGGTACAAAATGTTCTCAGAAGGCCGAGAAGATGTGAACGACGAAGAGCGTGCCGGACGCCCGAGCACTTCAACAATAGACGAAAAAATTAATGAAGTGGAGAAAATGATATTGGCCAATCGTCGAATCACCGTTAGAGAAGTTGTTGAGGACCTAAACATATCGATTGGCTCGTGCCATTCGATTTTTATCAATGATTTGGGCATGAGACGGGTCGCCGCGAAATTTGTACAAAAATTTCTCAATTGCGACCAAAAACAGCATCGCATGAACATTGCTAATGAGATGTTGGACTCTGTCCGCGACGACCCAAATTTGCTCCAGAGGGTCATAAGTGGTGACGGAGTGTGGGTTTATGGTTATGACGTGGAAACCAAAGCTCAATCATCTCAATGGAAGCTGCCGCACGAACCAAGACCCAAAAAAGCGCGCCAAGTTCGGTCGAATGTGAATGTTTTGCTGACAGTTTTCTTCGATTGCAGGGGCGTGGTGCATCATGAGTTCTTGCCACAAGGTAGAACGGTCAATAAGGAATATTACCTGCAAGTTATGCGCAATTTGCGCGAAGCAATCCGCCAGAAACGCCCGGATTTGTGGAAGAACAAAAATTGGCTTTTGCACCACGATAACGCCCCTGCTCACACATCGTTGCTTGTGCGCGACTTTTTGGTCAAAAACAACACACTAATGATGCCGCGCGCAGCCACCGTATTCCCCAGATCTGGCCCCCTGTGACTTTTTCTTGTTCCCTAAACTGAAGAGGCCCATGAAAGGACGACATTACGCTACGCTTGACGAGATAAAGACGGCATCGAAGGAGGAGCTGAAAAAGATTTTTAAAAATGATTTTTTGAAGTGCTTCGAAGATTGGAAAAACCGTTGGCACAAGTGTATAATATCTCATGGGGATTACTTTGAAGGGGACAAAATAGGTATTCATGAATAAATAAATAATTTTTTAAAAAACACAAAAGTCGCGATACTTTTTGAACACACCTCGTACGTAGTACGATGCGATTTACATTAAAAGTGACCTGTCTATAGCACCCTATTTTGGTGAGTCCCAAGAGGGGGCGCTATAGACAGGTTTAACTGTATTTCAATTGTATTGATATTTTTCTCTTTTCATTTAACTAAACCTTGCATACTAATTCTTGTACATATTTCAAATATCTTTCTTTCTTTTTAATGTTTTGTTTATCTTTATAGTGCAAGTGTCCCTAGGGGGACATAGCGCTCTAAGTCAAAATAAAATATAACAAACTAAAATGTATATTTTGTATTCATAATTTTTATGAAAAACATTAAGTAAATTCTTATATTTCATCGTAGTGTAAGGACAGTAAAAATTTTATACACCAATACCTCGCTTTGCGTCATTTCGTTTTGCGTTTTTTTTTTTTTGCGAAGTTGCGTCGCTGCTTAATTTTTACTGATTTTCACTGTGCGTCATTAGATTTTCGAAGTTGCGTTGTTTTGGATTCGAGTCTTTAATTTTTTTATTATTTTTTCCCTAAAATAACAACAACAACAAAAAGCCTTTATTTAGGGTCACTGACCCTATACAGGATTCACCAGAGGTATGCATAAGAACAAAGCAGTGAGACAAAGGAAACAACGATATAGACAGAAGAAAAAGAAAAAAAAACAAGAAAGAGAAAGAGGGAAGCAAGAAAAACAACACAAAAAGAGTAGCAGTAAGAAAGTGAGGAGTGAGTGTCACTTGGCCTTCTTCTGAGATATGGACTTGTGGAAACCATAAAACGCCGTAGCAATATACTTATTCTGGGTCATATTGTCAATTATTGATGGAAGTGAAGCACAGAGTTGCCCAGTTTTGAGCATATCTTTTCCTAAAATATGGTAACACCTTTGTTTTTGATTGCGCCTTCAAATATTTTCACTTTGCGTCGTTTCAATTTGCGTCGTGTTTTTTTTTTTGGAACGTAACCCCGACGCAAAGCGAGGTATGGGTGTATTTTGTTTATAGAAGAAATATTCGTGCTTCATAGTTTTATTTTTTATATATAGATGGCGTGTTATATTGCTTTATAATTAATTAAAGCTTAATTAGTTTTGTCCTTATTGTTTAAGGAAGAGAATTTCTTAATGCAAATATATACGTAATTCTACTATCTTATTTTCATCGTTTGCTATATAATCATAACGTTGTTTATAATATGATGCACTAGCGCGCCATCTGTGAGGGTTCACCACTGATGAGCCAGGCCCTCCCATTAATTTTTCCATTGCAGTAAGGTCAGTAGAAATTGTTTAATTTCAAAAAGAATCTTACGCGTCTATCATAGTTTCGAATTTTGATAACGTTGTTTATTACCGCGCATATATAAAGTAAGTCTTTTTTTACCGATATTATAAACTTTCTACCAAACTATATATAGAACTAAGAAAAAGGCATCTCCTTATCGTGCAACTCAAAGTTGCTAATGGCTTGCACCATCTATCAGAATAAATATCAACTATTCTCATTGATTTTTATTTATTCCATATTAATCAAGAATTGTTATTTGGCCAATTATGGAATAATTAAAAATCAAGGGCTAGTTGATATTTATTCCGATAGATGGCGCAAGCCATCAACAACTTTCAGTTTCCCAATAAGGAGATGCCTTTTTCTTAATTTATGAACCATATCCCAGTACAATGTCACATTTGTACTCTTTTTTCGCATATAGAACTATTAGAATAACTAGACAAAGAGTGAGAGATTTTTAAACTAATTTATATTACAACATCCATATAGGGTTATATAAGTTTAAATACAAAATATATGAATAAATAAGATGATATACGTATAAATGTATCAATAAATAAATTTAAATATAACACCTATATATTGTTGGATCGTTTTTGAAGACAACTCTCAGATTTATAAAATTAATTTATTAAACATTTTTAGATATAGAAACGAGTTAATTACCTCGTATTTAAGGCAACAAAAGAATCATCTAATTTACATACATCGTTCTAACCAGATTCAACTTGTGCAAAACAGACGACCAAGAAAAAATAAACAAATTAATAATAGAGGGTAAGTTCCTATTTTTTACAAGCTTTCACACTCAATGAATATTCAACTTCTTGCTTCATATATATATAAATTTTGAAAATAGAGCAATCCATAAATAAATATTCTTCTTCTTTCTTATCTCCACTCAATCATATTAGGGTGTGCTGGGGATTAGGTAAATAAATCTTTAATTAAAAAGGCATATATTGGATCAAAATATAGTTTATTTTATGATTCACTAGCGCGCCATCTGTTATCAAAATTCGATACTATTTTAAAGGCGTAAGATTCTTTTTGAAATTAAACTGGCGAAACCGCTGGGAGGGTTCACCACTGATGAGCCAGGCCCTCCCATTAATAGTAAGGGCAGTAGAAATTGTTTAATTTCAAAAAGAATCTTACGCCTTTAAAATAGCTTCGAATTTTGATAATTTATTTTACCAATATATCAGTTGGCTGAACGCCAACCTTTTTCAAGGTGTTATAACATATTAATGTATTGAGTCAAATCAATCAGGCCTCCAGGGAAAGGTGTCTTCTCATACCCTGAAGACATGATTAATTTGACTCAATACTGATTCAAGGAATTATTTTATAGAATACTCATGCAAAGCCCAACACGCATTTATTGGGTAACGTATTTAAGTCTCAGATGGGACAATTGTCTTTTTAAGCTATATTAGGTGCGGGGGGCGGGGGAACATCCAGGGACGGGATTTCGATGATGGTAGAGGGGCACTGGTTGTTCGGTGCTTTCCTGGGGACATCTTGGGTTCCTGGTT